CGGACGCTGTTGCGCCGGTAGTTCTCCTGGCTGAGGCGCCTTCGGGATCGCTGGTGGATGCTGTGCGCGTTGCGGATGGACGACCTGGGCGCAGGGGGCGGGAACGTCGGTCAGCGCCCCGCCCCGGCGGCCGCGTCCCTGCCCGCGGGGACTCGCGTGGCCACCGCTGGGATCCCACGACTGGCCCGAAGTGGGGAGCGGCAGGGGGAGGGGGGAAGGGAGGTCCCGCACGGCCCGAAGGCGGCTGCCCTTCACCGACGGGGACCCTCGCCGTGCCGCAGAGCCCAGGTCCGTTTCCTACGCCTCTCCACAGCCTTCAGCCGACCCTCTCCCCCAGGAAGCCCTCCGGACTGCCACAGCCCGCACGGACCATTCCCAAAGGCTCTGGGCATCAATGCCTTCATCACCCCCACCTCACACCCCTGCTTTCCTACCGCCCCGGTGCCAGGGCCACGGAGGAGGGCGGGGCACGTCCAGCCTCCTGACCCGAAGAGGGTGCTGCCTTCCCCTCCAGGCTCGGAGCCCCTACCCTGCCTCCCTAGCTCCAGTCCTGCCAATCCAGGACCGACAGAGGGAACCCGTGGCGCACCCTCCTCGGCCCCGCCCAGTCCCCCCAGTCCCAAAGACTCACCTGCGGGGCGGCGCCCCTCGGTTCTTGATCTGGCGTCGGGCCTGTGCTACGTCCTGCCCCGCCTTCTGCAGGTAAATGGACGGAAAGTAGCCTGTGACGTCGTCTTTCCTGCAGCAGAGAAGCCCGGTCAGTGGGAAGATCAGGGCTCCCTCTAAACAGTTGAGGTCACAGCGGCTGGGAGGTGTCAGGCTCCCGCCTGGCCAACACCAGCCCCAGCCCCTCTGGGACTCAGTTTCCTCACCTGTGCAACACAGACCCTACCGTAGGCTGTGAGGTAGGGAGGGGGAGGAAATTAGCAGATCCAGATCTCCCCAGGGACCTGTGTTTGCTATAAAACATCTGCAATATTGCATTTGTCAGTTTTTCTTGTATGGTGATTGCCTTGTTTGTACTAAGAAACTTGCCCAGCTCCACTTACCAAGTTCTTTGCTTTCTTCCAAAAGCTTTTTAGTTTTGGGTTTTGTACTTGGTAAAACCTGTGATCCATCCTATGTCAGTGTGTATAGTGTGAGGGAGGGGTCTAGGTTTCTTTTTTTTCCGTATGGATATCCAGTTGTCCCCCCCTCATGTTAGAAAGACCCCCCCATTCTCACTATTATATTTGGGAGAGGGGCAAACTTTACATAATACACACTTCACTCAGTAAAACTCTGATTCTTCTTGGATGGTGAAAGAATCTCAATCAGATTCTCAGGGATGCATGATAGGAGTTAACTAAGTGTGGACCTAAAAGGTTGAGAAACCCTGTCTCAGGCGGGTGGAGGTGGAAGAGAGTGTAGGGGAGATGAATGGTGATGGCGAGAAAGAAAAGAAAAAACAAGAAGAAAAGAAACCCTGCCTCAAAGCCTCCAGCCCAGGACCATGCTGAGGATGGGTGTTACGGCCACAAGTTCACTGGGGTCATGGGCTGGCCCTGTGACCTAAGGCTCTGCAAGCATGTGCAAGGGCCTGGGGAGGCCCAGTGGAATGTCTCTGCTTCCCCCAGAACTGGGGAGGGGGGGATTAGTATGGAATTGCAGTAAAAGATTTAAAAGGGATGACGGGTCTCTTCTAGCAGTTACCAAACATAATGATTAATACAAAAATCAGTTGTGTTGCTGGAGAAGGGATAATAGATGGATTGGTCAGGGGAAGTGACCCCAAGTCACAAAGGTAAAATGAGGACACTCTGATGAGGACACTGAACCCAAGAGAGAAGTAGGGTGGGGTTATCACTCATCCCCTACAATAACGGAAACTGGGCCCAGAGAGGAGCAGTAGCTTACCCAGTGTCACACAGCCAAGGCAACACCACGTCAACCCTGAGCCCACCCACCTCCAGGCCAGGGCTGGTGCAGTGGGAGGGAGGGGGTGCTCTCCTACCTGATGACCCACCAGCCGTCCAAGAGCTTATGAATGACCTCGATGGTTTCACCCTCCTGGAGGGAGATCTCATCCTCCAATATAGCAGTGTAGTCTTTGATGGTGACGTAGGGTTCACCTGGTCCACC